TTTGCCAGCTGCCTCCACCTCCTTGCCTGCCCCCAAGCCAGCATTTCCAAGGGGATGTGGGTGCCAACGTGCACCCACCCACCTGCCTCCTCTTCCTCTCCCATCCCACCACGACCCACCAGCCTTTTCTTTGTTCTACAGCAGCTGGCAGCCTCCTCTGGGCTTGAGTTTGGGAGGCTGAGGCTCAAGAGGCAATTCACGTGGCCCATGGAACCATGTGCTCGCCCTGCCAAGTGGGGCCAACTAGAAAGTGCCGCACTCCAAGCCTCCTCCCACCCCCTACCCCGGGACTGCTCTCCTCACCAAGAGGCAAAGAAACAGAATGTCCAGGCCTCCGGGAATAGAGACTAGGCCATGAGGGGGAGGCCAGGGCCAGCCAGTCCTGCCCTGCCTGGCCCCGAAGGGCAAAGGGGCAGAGGAGTACCAGGGGCGCCTCCGGGAACCTGCAGTGTCATCAAGCTGGGCAGGAGGAGTGGGCAGAGCTGGAGTAGAGAGAGACGGGAAATATTTAACCTCTTTTAAAAATCCTGACGGGCGGAAGCTGTGCTGTATACCAGGACACGCACCCAGGGGTCCAGGCCGGGCCCCGACCCCACAAACAACGTGAATTGTGCCTATCACTGTCGTGTTCATCGTAATCATACCAAATTGGTAACAATCCGAACAGCCGAAAATATAAGAATGAATACGTGAAACATGAAATTCATTTATTCAAGAAATGTTTCCAGCAGGCCTACTCGGTGCCAGGCACAGGGGATACGTGGGTACGTACACGGATGTTCCTGCCCCTGATCATGTTTAGCAAAGCTCAGAAAAACCAGCGGCACCATGAGGGGTTGCGAAGAAGTGGATGCCACCTGAGTACCTAACAGAGGTTAGCCTGGTCCAGGGGGAGGGGGTCGGAGGAGTCCTCCGGGGCCAGAGGCTGTTTTAGCTCAGACCCAGAAATGAACAAAGAGGCAATCCAACATTTTACCCTCATAAAATTCTTACAAAATCATCCTTATTGACATAGGGAAATACTTATGATACGGTAAGTAAATAAAGTGGGCTATAAAGCCACACTTGCTCTCCGCCACGTAAAAATCACATTGATGTCTCTGTATATTTAGAGATACGGATATATATAGAGACACACGTGGGAAAAGTCTCTGGAACACCAGAATGTGAACACCAGTCATCTGTAGGCGGGAGATTTACTGGTGACTTTATCGTCTTTATTCTTCCCTGTGTTTCTCAACATTTTCACCACGAGCACCGATTGCTTCCACGCTCAGAAATAAATACCACCTGCCGGGGCACGGCCTCCAGGCTTCGGCCCATGAGCCTCGGTGGGGTTTCTCCAGAGCTCGCTCCCGGGCACCTGGGCGGCTTGCTCCTGAAGACGACGCAGCCTCCTGGAGGCCGGCGGGGAGCTTTCTTTCACCCTTGAAACGCATCCAGGTTTCTCTGGGCTAGAATCTAGGCCCCCTCCCTCAGCAGCTCGGAGCATAAGCCACCTGGAGGCTAGCCCCAATCCAAACAAAGACATTTCCCTTTTCATCTCAAAGTGACGTGTCTTCACTGTCTGCCTCGAGGCCCGCCGCTGGTCTGCTGACTTACCTGGCTCGCTGCTCCCCGAGGACCCGAAGGCCCAAGGCTCCTCGCGCCCAAGCCTTTTACATCAGAGGCTGCGGGCGAGAGTCAGGATTGGGCGGAGGGAAGAGCTCGTAGCCAAGCCCTGGGCCCCAGTTTCCCCCTCTGCAAGAGTGAGGAAGTCAAGCTTCAGGGCTCCTCTCCCCGCAGCTGCTCTGGGCCTGTGACTCACCCACCCCTAGGGGAGCTGCAGACAGACGACCACCCCTGAGAGCAGATGGCATCACAGAGGACAAGGTTCTGGGGCCCGGAGGCCACAGCCGGTCACCTGGTCACCTGCTGGGGTACAAGCCCAGGAGACACTCGGGTAATCAAAAAGGATCCCGGCTCACCAGGGTGGGAAGAGCTCATTTGACTTCCAACAGCAAGCACGTCCTCCTCTACCAGGTTTGTCCCCTGGCCCAGCATGCTGGCCTCCGACACTCCCCGCTGTGCTCCCATCGCAGCCCCACTGAGCTGGGAGGCGTCCAGCTGAGCACAGAGGCAGGGCTGCCAGGCGCTCCCCTGCCCACTGGCGCGAAGGTGAGTGGGTCTGAGAGGGAGGCGCCCGGCGCAGCGAGCAAAATACCAAAGCCATTGGCAAAGATCAGAGGAGAAAAGTCACCCCACTGACAGCCTTGAGGAAACTCCTCCATAAATCCCACAGCTTCTTGGGGGCGGATTCCAACACATATGGGCTCCCTGGTGCAAGACATCTGTTAGACAGGCCTGGATCCAAGGCCTCTCTCTGCTCCTGACACAATGTTCGTCTGGGCAAGTCACTGAACCTCCCCGGCCCGCAGACTTCAGCTTACCTACACAAGTGTCCACGGAATGGGCCTAGCAAAACCGTCCACTAGCGAGAGGTGAGGAACAGTAAATGCGTTGAAGCACGTAAAACAACGAAAACCAAAAACCAAAAACCAAAAAAGCACGTAGCATCATGCCAGGCTCAGAATGACTAGGAGCTAGAAAACACAGCCCAGCACAACCTTCCCAGGGTCTCAACACCACGTCAGCAGGAGCCACGATGTGAAGAACCGCAGTGTTAGAGCCGAAGGGAAGCTCGGGGCCTCAGCTCGAGTCCCTTGATCTAACAGGTGAGGTGGGGGGGAGCTCAGAGAAGGTGCCCAGTTTCGCCAACGATGCACAGCTAGGAAGTAACAGAGCAAGGCCCCAAGTCGAGGTTTCTGGCTCCCAGATGCCCACCACCCCGTCAGAGCACCCCAACCTCTCCGGCCTCAGAGAGCCCTTGCTCGGCTTCCCCTCCCGCAGAGAGGGCTTTGGCCAGGGACCCCCCTGCTGGCACCTTGCCCCATAACCAGCCCCCTGGAGCCACCCGGGAACTCAGGGTGCGGGGTGGTGGGTGAACGGAGACTCTAGGAGACTCCCTAGAAGTAAGAGCTCAGGGGAACAGGGTATGGATTACCAGGCCTGCTGCGGCGCGATGCAAATAAGATGCAAAACACATGGAAATGGCCACAGGTTATTGATGAATCAACAATTTGAGTTCTTTCTGTCTTTTTTTCTTTCTCTTTCTTGTAACTGGATCATACTATGTGATCTGAACCATTTTTCTCTCTTGGCTTTCTGCCAAATGGAATGAAATACGATTTGTGGTGGACTGAGCACTGCTGGCTTTGCTTAGTGAGGGGCCCGAGCCCGCTCCTGTGACCCACTCCTGCCTCACCCTCTCCCGGAGTGCAGCGCATCTGCCTCCAGTTGGCCTGTCAGGGCAGTAAGCCAAGAGCAGGGGGACCTCGGCTGAGAGATACTCCCCCAGACCCAGCAGCTCGCCGACCAGGGCTGCCACTCCCCCTGCAGGGGGACGTGGCAGAGACGGGCCAGGGCCCGGAGTGGCCATCACGGCAGACCAGCCTCCAGGACCCTGGCTTTGGAGACGGGCCCCAGCCCCATTTCTACCGCGGAGAAGACTTCTCCACGGGGCAGGACACCCCCAGGTGCTGCTGGGGTCCCAAGGAATCATGCGGGCAGCTGTGGTCAGATCCCTGAAGGAGAATGCAGAGGAGGTCTAGTTCCCAGCAAGAAGGTTAGAGGTCAGACACCCGGAAGGCCTGCCGGAGGCTCAACCCTGTGAGCTCTGCAGACGCATCCAACACAATGGACGTTTACTGACTATCCGCCGTGTGCCAGACACTGAGCTAGGCATTCTGGAGACTTGGCAGAAACGGGCCGCGTGCAGTCGCTGCCTGGGTCACTGCCTTGAACACGCGGACAATCCACCAGGGAAGGAAAAACATGTATAAATATAACCCGACAGTATTTTGAAACCTCCCTGGGAATGCAGCGTGTGTTCGTGGGGCGGGGGCATGTGTGTGGGTGTGTGAGAGCACGAGCGTGCACGGGGTGGGGTGCCAGGGCTTGCTCATTCAGACCCACTTTGAGCCATACGGTAATGCTGCTGATAAAGCTACGGACACAAACATACCACGTACGGCCCGCAGGTGATACTATGTGCATTTTGTAGCCCTGAGGGTTTTCTATCTAGGAGTTCATTGTATTTCTCCATTCATTTGAGGAGGAAGGTCCTATTATTACTTTTCCCTTTTATAGATGAGGAAATTGAAGGTTCATAAGATGAAAAAGTGACTTTCCCAAGGTCACACAGCTAGGACTTCACAGTTAGGATTCGAACCCAGGCCTGGACTCTATGCATTCGCCTGCCTCGGCCCGCAGAAGGCAGCTGGTCGGGGCGCCTGGTGCCTCAGTCAGTTAAGCGTCTGCTTTCGGCCCAGGTCATGATCCTGGGGCCTGGGGTGGAGCCCGGCATCGGCTCCCTGCTCAGCGGGGGTTCGCTTCTCCCTCTGCCCCTCGCCCACTCGTGCTCTCTCTCAAATAAACAAAATCTTAAAAAAAAATAGAGGTAATAATATTAAAAGGAGGAAGAGGAGGAAGAGAAGGAGAAGAGAGGAAAGCTCCTCAAGATCCCAGCTCCTGGAGGCTGGAGCCAGGAGCAGCCACAGCTGCCCCGGGGGAGGTGGAGCCTGCGGTTCCTGCCCGCACAGCCCCCACCCGTCCCCACGGGGCAAGTGAGCACATTCTGAGGCCTGCGACCTCTGTCACTTACGACCAGGCCTCTGGCTCACCTTGGCACCCGCTGAGCCACACAATTTCTGGAGCGGCCCTCCTACCTCTGCAAACCTGCGGGAGTTTCCTAACGTGGCAACACTTGGTTCTAATGGTTCTAATGGTCGGCTCGGAGGCCCAGCCCGCTCTAATGGGCTGAGACCAGCTTCCTCCGCCCCAGCCGCCTGCGGCCTGCGACTAATGGTGGCAGCAAGGCCCCTCCTCCGCCTCCACCCCCACCCCGTCCCCGCAGCACTCTTCACCCACCTGCCCTGGGAAGCTGGCAGTGCTGAGGGAGGCCGGGCACGGGCACAGGCATAACGGTGCCCGGGCAGGGGGCTCGGGAAGGAAGGGAGGTGGGCAGTGGAATCTAGGCTGCGCTCCCACCTGCTTCGGGAGACCCTCTGGTCTTTCCCAACTTTCTCCTTTAGCAGCTCCTACTCCACCTCCCTCAGAGGATCATGGAGGACACAGGGAAGACACGCTGCACGAAGAAAAGCTTGGAAAAGGTAAACGTGCACAAATGTACTGCAAACGGGAGAGCCGTGGGCGCCGCAGCCTTCCCCGGGCAAGCTGCCAAGCGAGGCCAGAGGCCCCATGTCCCAGATCTGGAAGCTGCTCTGGAAGGCGGGTGCCAGACAAGGCCAGAGCTCCCTGGTAGAAGGGGGATCTGCTGGTGACAGGACTTGGAGGGGGCAAGCACGCCTCACAAGAGCGTCCCAGCAGGACCAGCGCTGGCAGCGCGCCCAGGCATTCACTGGCACTCGGTGGCCCAGGCACTGCCTGGTGACGACATTACGGCCTGGCAGGCCCCGGCGTGGACCGGACACCCGCATGAGGACCGCCACCCTGGTGCTGCCTGGACCCGGCGTAAGCACCTCTGCTGGGACCGGCATAGACGCACACAGTTTAGCCAGAGAACAGGGCCTGCGTCGCCCCCCCGCCGGCCTGGAGCAGAGATCCCGTAAGTGGATGCTGGGCAGAGGTAATCAGACGCCGGGACTCAAGGGGACAGCCCCGGAGGGTGGAGCCGGCGGCCACGGCCACAGAGAACAGGAGCCGCCAGCGCGTTCAGGTCGCCCGCTGGGATCTGCCGGAGAAGCAGCACTGGGCGGCATGGGCCACCTCGGTCATCCTCGCCCCTCTAGCAGTCGGCTCCGCCCCTTCCACCTTCCTGGGGCCAGTGGGGCTCGGTTTACCCCCCTCTTTGCGCAAACCCTCCAGGCAGCCTGGCCTTCCCCGGCTGTATCTGAACAGCCGCAGCTCCAGCTCTGGGGGCCCGGGCACCGCCAGCTTCACGTTCCTCCAGCAGCCCAGCCCCCCGCGGCTTCAACTGCCGCTCAGCTCAGCTCACTGCTCCCGGGGAGAGTGGGGGACAGAGGGCAGAGCCAGGGCTGGGGCACAATCTGGCTTTCGCGGGGTCTGTTGCTCTACCTGTCATCCTCTCTAGGTGCACCCCGGCCCGGGGTGCAGGGTGGGGCGCAGCGGGTACCTTGGGCTACTCTGGACTCACCGGAGTGGGATCTTGACGCGGAGGTAGCGGTCCACAGCAATGGCCAGCAGGGCCAGGATGGAGCTCTGGGTGAGGATGAGGACAGGGCAGGCGACCATGAGGCAGGTGTGGAAGTAGGTCCGCGGCCCGATGTTGATGAGGATGGCCAGCGGGATGACCAGGGCGCCCACCGCCACGTCAGCCACCGCCAGCGACACGATGAAGCAGAAGGTGGCATCCCGCAGCGCCTGGTTCACCTTCACTGCCCAGATCACCAGCACGTTCCCGGGCACAGAGACCAGGGCGATGAGCACCTCGATGCCAATGTAGGCGGCCTGGAAGGCCGAGATGGCGGGCGGCATGGCAGGCGGGGGCCAGGCACATCAGCAGGCCGGCGTGGAGGGTTCGGGGACAGGCACCTGTGGTGGGAAGCCCGGGGTGGGGAGGCCTGCCTGGGGGGGACCCCAGGCGGCTCCGAGATCCTGCGCGCCCTGCAGCTGCACCCCACTGCGCCCTAGAGCCTGCCGGGCTGGCGGGTACCAGGGCCCTTCCTCCGCCTAATCTTTGTCCCCTCCCCTTATCGTCCCGGAGGTTCCATTCAACAACTTAAAATAGCAGTGCTCGCTGCTCCGCCTTATCAGGTGTGCGGCGCCCCAGGCCACACCCCGCCAGGGGTCCCCGGGCCGGCTCCGCCCTCCCCCTCACCGGCCGCAGGGCGCTCACCCTCGGCCGCTGGACACCGGGGTCCGCGGCGCCGCCCCAGTTCGACACCTGGAAGCGCGCGGGGCTGCGGGGGGCGGGGGCGGGCCGGGCAGGGCTGCGGGGGGCGGGGGCCGGCCGGGCCGGGCAGGGCAGGGCAGGGCACCGGCGCTCACCGGCCCGGGCTCCCGCCGCAGCTCCCGGCCTTCGAGCCGTCACATGGTCGCGGAGGCTCAGCCCCGGGCGCCTTTAAAGACGTAGCGCCCCGGTCACCCGGGCCGGGCAGGGGGCGGGCGGCGGGCTCCCCCGACCCGACCCGCATCCCGCGCCCGCCGCCCCGCACCCCTGCGCCCCCAACCCTGCGCCCTGCGGCCCAACCCTGCGCCCCCGCCCCACAGCCCTGCGCCCCCCACCCCTGTGCCCTGCGCCCCCCGCCCCGCAGCCCTCGCCCCGCAGCCCTGCGCCCCCCGCCCCGCAGCCCTGTGCCCCTGCCCTGCAACCCTGCGCCCCCGCCCCGCAGCCCTGCGCCCCTGCCCTGCAGCCCTGCGCCCCCTGCCCCGCAACCCTGCGCCCCCAACCTTGCGTCCCCTGCAGCCCTGCGCCCCCCGCCCCCCGCAACCCTGCGCCCCCCCGCCCTCCCCCCCCGCAGCCCTGCGCCCCCGCCCCCCGCCCGCCCCCCGCCCCCGCAGCCCTACGGTCCCGCCGCAGGGACCCTCCCGGCCCGGGCTCTCCCCGCCCCCGCCCGCCCCGAGGGGCAGTCCGGTCCCCCCTCCACCCTCCCCTGCTCCCCGCACCGGGGCCGCGGCGACCGGAGGCACAGACTTACCCAAGGTCACGCGGGCGGGCAGGGCTCCGAGCACCTGCGCCGCGGCCCAGCGCCCTCCCGGCCCGACGCCTCCGCGCCGCCCTCCGGGGATGCCCGCCGCGCGCCGCCGCCTGTCGGGCCCCGGGACGAGCCGAGCCGCGGGCCTGGCCTCCGGCGCCTCCGTCGCCCCCGCGGGAGCCGAGTGACGAGCGGCTCCGCGCCCCGGGAGGGCGGGGGGAGGCGGGGGCGGCGGCACCGCGGCCCCTCCCTCCTCGCCGCGCCTCCTCCCCCACCCCCTCCTCCAGACAAAGGAAGTGATTCTGGGGAGAAGCGCCGGCCCCGAGCTCCAGGCGGGGCGGTGGATGCCCCGGGGGAGGACGGGCACCTCCCGCGCCCCCCGCCCCGGCCCGGCCCCCGCGCCCCCAGGCGACCCCGAGCACAGCGCTGCAGGCTCCAGGCTCCGGGCTGAGCCACCGCATCCCTCCCGCGTCCCCGCCGTCCTTCGGGGCTGCTCGCTGGCCCCGGGCAAGGTCCGCTGCACGGGTGGGGGCACTGGGCCTCGGGGAAGTGACCGACCTTCCCCAGAGGATCTCGGCCGCTGTCACCCCCTCCCGTGCCCCCTTCCCGCCTCCCCGCCCTCTCCATGGCCCAGCACCTAAGCCCAGGGGTACCCAGCCCAAGACTCCGGGTCGGAGGGGGCTTCCAAGACATCACAGAGCAGGTCTTAAGGGGACCAGAGGAAGAAAGCAGGCTCCTGACTCCCGACACAGTGCTCTCCACACTGTGCCCCATCCTGGCCCCTCTTGGCTGCCTCCTGCTGCAGGTGCCATCTAGGTGGCCCACTGGTGCCTCACCCAGAACCCCGTGCCTTGCAGAGACCCTGACCTGAGAAACCCTTGTTGGTGGATATTGGAAATGGGTCTGGGAGGGCAAAGAGAACCAGTGCCACCGGGCCACACCCAGGCCCCAGAGGGCACTGCCCCCTTGCTGGGTCTTGGGAGGAGGGTGAGCTTGCAGCTTCGGCTGGCGGGAAGGGGGGCACCGAAGCAGAGGAGTGATGGGCTGGGGCAGGACGGCCAGCAGCGCGAGGAGAAGGTCAGATGGGGTTCATCCTGGGGGAGGAGGAGGAAGAAACCCAGGAGAGGGCAAGATCGCTTCCTAAAATTGCAGTGTCCCTGAAGTCCAGCTGGAGAAATGGGGAGGGGGGCACTCTCCTTGACCGCTGTCCCTCCACGCCCCTGCGTGGACTGCGTGGAGGTTAAGACTTCCCTAACACCCCCAGTGATGCTTGCCCCCCAAGCCCCACGCCAACCTGTGGGTCTATCCCCACCTGCCTTGGACCCTGGCCTTGACCCAAGTTCTTCTGGGGTCAAGGTTTTCTTCTGATTTCTCACTCAGCCCCCCGATTTTCACTCATGTAGCTGATGACAGAAAGAGCCAGGAAGCCCCCGGCAGGTCTAGCTTGGGGCGGAGGCGGGTGGTGGTGGTGGAGGCAGAGGGGTGGTGACTGCATCACCCTATGTCACCTTCCAGCATCTTCAGCTGCAGAGGACACCTGAGCCCACCCCCAACTCCTCTAACCGTGGGTGGTTGACGTTTAGTGGATACGTTTGCGCAATACCTGTACATCATTTGTTTTTCCTCGGTTCTGGGTAAAATGAACCAAAACCCTCTTCTCTCTCTCCCTTCCTCCCTCAACCTCTGCTTGTTCCCAGGGCCAGGCCTCCTGGGGGATTAGACTGGCCTGTTTGAGAACAGAGCTGGCCCAGTCAGGGTCCCTCCCAGAGTATCTTGGAAAACACACCATCCCCCAGTCTTCGGCAGGAGGGAGTGGGGGTGTCAGTGGTGAACACAACGCTCCTGGGTGACAGAGCCATTCGGTGCAGTGAGAAGAGCACTTGATCAAGAGTCGGAAGAGCTGGAAGCTGACTCACTGGATGGGGGTCCAAGCAAATCTCTTCTCTCCCCTGGGCGCCCGTTCACCCATCGGTCAGCTTAGCCGATTGACGTCTTTCGTCCTCTCCTGCTCCAACAGCTGGTAAGTCCGTTCCAAGGTGGGAAACATGGAGACCACGGGTTCTGGGTCTTTCTACCTGGAAACCTTCTGAGTCCTGGCTGCCCCACGTAGGACAGACTCCCGGATGGAGCGGAGGAGAGCTCTGTGGTGGGGGAAGGGGGACGTCGGGTCTATAGTGGGAAGAAGACGATGTGGGAAGGTGTGAGCAGAGCAGGGGGAACAAGATACCGAGAGTTTGCACCGAGCCAAAAACTCTGGCTTTCGAAGTCTGTCCGGGACCCCTAACTAGAGGACCCCCCAGGGTCCACTCGTGCTCTGCAGACCATGAGCCTCCATGCTTTCCCCTGCCTGGAACAGCTGAGTCTTGGTTTCCTCATCCATAAAATGGGCGTGGGAACTGCACCTCGCCTCGTCGTTGGGAGGCCTTGAGCCGACTTGCGGGGTGTGGGTGGGATTTTATCCACAAGGCAAGTGGGCGGCACCAGGCAGGTGGACTTGGCTCCACGCGGCCAGTCATGCTGATCCCACAGGTTCCAGAGCTGGGGACCCTCACGGGGTCCTTACCCAGAGAAAGCTTCTCTCTCGCCTGTGGCTCTGGGGGCAGGAGAATAAGATCTCAGTGGGTCTAAGTCCCCCCAGGGCCTCGCCCCTTCACTTCTGGTCCCACTTCTTTGCTTCCGGAGCCCCACCCTGGGCTGCTCGGGGCCTCCCACCTCTGCAGTCTCTGTGCTGCCAGCAAGGTGCAGGGGGAAGAGAAGGGGCTGAAGTGGGAGCACCCCTGAGGGCAACCCTGCATGCCCTCCTTGCTAGAGTCCTCCCAGCGAGAGAATCCACCGCTGAGCACGCCTTCCTCCGGGTACCGGCGGGGAGGGTGTAGCCAGGCCAGGCCAGCTAGCGGCCCCAACCGAGAGCCTGCGGGAGTGGACAAGGTTATGAGCTTGGCCTCTTTCCCTTTCCAGCGAGCAGGAGGCTATCTGGTCCCTGGGTGTCTCTCGGCGTTGTGTGTCCAAGGAGGGGGAGGAGGGCTGCACCAGGGCCGCAGGTCGGAGGAGAAGCCCCAGCCCCCCCCCCGCCCCCGCACCCCCCCCCCCCCCCAGGGAGCCCACTTCCAGGCCCCTGCAGTGACTTCCTCCGCTTTCAGGTCTGGACTCCAGGTCTCTCTGCTTCCTCGTCCCTTCTCCAGCACCCAGGTCAGAGGCTCCTGCGGAGGAGACGCCAGGGAAGGAGCGCAGAGTGGCCTGAGTGCTCCCCACGTGTCCTCCCACCGCTGAGGGCAGGGGAGGCATGGGCCGGGCGGCCAGTGTGAGTTCCCGAAGGAGGCTGCCCCTCGGCTTCTGTCCCAGCCCCGGTGCCCCTACTCCTCCTTCTGTCCTGTTCAACAAGCATTTATCAGATCCCTTTTTGGATCAGACAGTGAGCCGGGCACCGGGGACAGAGAAAGAAGAAAAGCAAAGTCTCCCCCGTAGTTTCAGAAAGTGCTCCTGTCAGGCGGAGGAGCGGGAGGTCTTTCCAGCCTCAGTCTACCCCACCTTCCTCTTGCTCAATTTCAGGAGGGATGAAGAAGCCTGATGCCAGAGCTGCGGGCCGGCGAGCCCTCTCACCAGTGGGCGGGCGGGGCGCGGGCTGCGAGCGAGGCCTTTGGGGCTTGAGCCCTGGGACCCCCGGGTGGGAAGGAGCCACCCCACGTGAGCTACAGCGCTGACCTCCCGTGTGGGTTCCTGGTGTGAGGCTTTATATCAAGGTAAGAGTTTATTAGTTCTGTGCCTTTAAATACTAGAAAATCTGAACGTCAACCCAACCTCATCATTGTGTACAAAGGAAACCGAGACCCAGAGGAGCAGTGAACTTGGTCAGACCCACCCACGAGATGGGGGAGAGCCCGGTGCCGCGGGGGAGATGGCCACAAGTGAGCCACACTCTGGCCTGGGTCCGCGGACCCCTTTGAGCACCAGCCCTTTAAACCCGCCAGGCTCTCAGCCTCGCCCGCTCATCGGGAGGGAGGAGGCCCAGACGCAGCCGATCGCATCCGGTGGACCACGACGCCAGGGTGATAGAGGTGTGGCAGCGGCACAGCAAGTTAACATCTGTGAACACGCACATCATGTTCCACACGGAGCGGCCCCTCTAATGCTCACCGTGCGCCCGGCAGAGAGCAACGCCGCGGTCAGCGGCAGCCGGGAGGTCAGAGGGAACCACCTGGCAGGGCCGGTACTGACCCAGATGCGGGGCCCTGTGCTCGTGCAGGGGCGCGGGAGGGTCGGGGTGATGGGAGTCGCTGCACCCGTTGATCTGGAAGCGGTTCTTGGAGGAGAGAATCCCCAGCAGCCTCGTGGATGCATTTGCTGGCTCCACCGGTATGTGTCGGAGACCTACCATGAGACGGTGCCAGTCCGAGGTGCCCTCCGAGTGCTTGCAGCGTGGGACCCAGAGGCCTGGGTCAGGCCTGCTTAGAATCAGCTGAAGCTCCACGGGATATGTTCCAGGACCTCCCTGGGCCTGCCCGGCCCGGGTTGGGTCCTGGAGGAGGAGCAGGGTGCTCTGCGTTCGTGGAGAAGTTCTGGTGGCATGAAGGAGGGGTTTCTGGGCAAGAGTGGGGCCTTGGCCAGGGCACCGACCTCAGGCTGGCCAGCAGGGTGACAGCTGGGGTTCGTGCTGCTGCTGGCCTCCCAGGGGAGGCTGAGAAGACTGGAGTGGGCCATGCATCCGGTTAAACCCAGAAGGCCTCAGCCCCAGCCCCGGCTCCACCCCGTAGCACCAGGTGAACCCAAGTACTCACCACATCTCTCCAAGCCTCAGTCTTCTTTTCCATAAAAGAGGAATAATTACGTTGCCTGTTTTTTGTTTGTTTGCTTGAAAGTGCTTTTCAGGTTGTAAATCACTGGGCAGATATCATGACCTCCTCTATGGGAGACGGGAAGCCTCTGGGCCTTTTTGAGCAGGAGGCCGAAGAATCTGAAAGATGCTTTGGAAAGATCATTCTGTGACCCTGTGCAGAGTGGGCTGGAGGAGCGAGAGGTAAAACAGGAAGACCTGTCCTGACCACAGAAGATTAGAAGCCACCATAAGAGGAAATGGTGGGAACAGAGAAAATAGACAAGAGAGATGTCACATGGGACCCCCCCGGGCTCCTTGGCCAGTCACGCAGAGCAGCCAGGGAGAATGGAGAGGCGCTGACTCGGATCCCCAGCTTGGGCTCCTGGGGGGTGCTGGCCACTGTCAGGCGGACACGACACAGGAGAGGCAAGTTTCGGGGACTGAGCAAGGAGGACAGGTTGGGTGGGATGTGCGTAAGGGGACATCCAGGAGCAAGGGCCAGCAGGCTTGTGCAAGTGGCCAAGGAGGCAGTCACAGCTCCAGCTGGGTCATATCATGAGGTGGAGGTCAAAGCCCTGGGAGAGATGAGGTCGCTCGGGGAGGCACGCAGAAGGAAAAATGGAGGGGAACAGCCAGAGGGGGAGCGGGCTAGCAGGTGTTTCAGGGAGAAGGGTGCTGAGTGGTTCAGGATCCCAGGGGGGAAGTGGTAGGATGTGGTGACAGGAGGGGAGGAGCGGGGGTAGAGGCCCCATCTGTCTCCAGGGTTAACGCTGTGGGGGTGGGGGCGCAGGGAAGGGAATAAAAGCTGGACAGTTGGCGGCGGAAGAGTGGGGTCGAGAAGAGGCTGGTTTCAGGCGGGGAGATCTGAGCATGCTCACAGCCGAGGGAGCGAAGCAGGGGCAAGAAGAGGTGAATCAGAGGGAAGAGCAACTGAGAACAGACCCTGCTTGTCAAGGACCCTAAGTGGTTGATGACAGCCGGCTGGGCACGGCGCTCGGGCGCTCACAGCCCTGGGAGTGCTAGCTCTCCAGCATCTCCCCCCGAGCACCCCCCCTGCCCGGCGCTGACCCACCCCCACCGCGCCCAGCAGACACGTGCCAGCAGTTTGCCCGCCACATTGCACACCAATTAAAGAATCAGCCTTGTCCAGGCACCAGCATCTCCTCATCTGGCAGCGGGTGGCCCGGCCCCGCCCCTGACCCCAGCCCACAGGGCGCCAGCCACGGACTGCTTGGCTTCTCCGGCCCGACTGCAGCCAGAGTGGTACCTCTGGGCAGCCCACCTGCCCCCCCACACCGCCTGGAGACGCCAAGTGGGCTCCATCACTTAACAGACTCAATAGAGCTCCCTGCCCAGCCACCCCATCCTGACCAAGACACGCTCCCCACCTTCCCGGACTCCCCAGACACCATCTGTAGGATGCAAGGGCCGGGATCCCCTGCTTCCTCTCCCTGCAGTGGGCAGAAGGGTAAATCAAGGCAGGGGAGCTCCCGTGGCTGTCGGAGGTCAGGCAGGGTGGCATCCGGACTCCCTAGTGCTTCCCTATTCCTTCCCACACATCAAACAGTGCCCTCGCACCTCAGGAAGGAGAAGGAGGCCCGTTACCTCCTGTATGTTCTCAGAGGGAGAAGAAGGCCCTGAAGATCGGGGGAGAGAGGGAAGGAGGAGCACAAGTACCGTTTCTAGATTAAACTCAGGACACCCAGAGACATTTTTAAAGAGCTTTATTGATGCGTAGTTTGCACATCATGAAGTTCATCCATTTGAAGTGTAACACTCCATGATTTTTCAGCATGATTACAGAATTGTGCAGACGTCCCCATAATTTAACTTTGGAACATTTTCATCACCCTCCAAAGAAACGTTGCACCCGCCAGCAGTCACTCCCTGAGCCCTCTCCAGTCCTACGCAGACCCGGCAGCCACTCCTCTGCTTGCTGTCCCTGTGGATGCTCCTGCCCTGGACCTTCCCCGTGGATGGCACCATGCACTGGGGGCCCGGGCACTGGTTCTTCCACTTGGTGTGACGTTTTCCAAGTCCCTCTCTATCGGACGTGTCCGTACCTCATTCTTTTTCAGGACTGAGTAATATTCCATCTCGTGCCTGTACCACGTTGTGTTTACCCATTCGTCAGTTGATGGACGTTCGGGTGGTTTCCACTTTCAGGCTCCTATAAATAATGCTGCTGTGAAATTCGTGTATGAGTTTTTGTGTGAACATATGTTTTCACTTGTTCTGGGTAGATACGGACGGAAGGAGGGGCAGGACCACAGGCCTGGGCCTTTGTCACGTCCATCCCAGGTATCGTCACGCTGCCTGGTGCAGAAGCTCTTCTGATCCTGTTCAACAGGTTAAATCACAGGCTCCGAGAGAGGCCTGGAACCACCACGAGCTGGAACTGGGGCAGGAGCTCGGGCCTCCTATTCCCGGTCCAGGGTTCTTCATGATGAGCTGCGGTCCACGCGGGGGAACAAAACATCCGGCATTTGAAAAGCCGCATAACCAGTGCGAACAGTCCCCTCGTCACGCTGAAGTCCTCATTGGGTGCTTCGGGGACCATGTCCTGGGTGAGGCGCAGACTGAAGCTGAGGCTTCGTGGAGGGGGCGAGGTGGAAAGGCCTCTCTCCTGCACCCCAGTGACCCCTGGGAGCTGTCGCCAAGCCTGGCCCAGGCTCCCACCGCGACTGGCTGACAGCAGCGGGCCTGGCGGGGACGGAGCCAGGAGCGTGCCTGAGGCACGGACTCAGTCACATGGCAGCACCCCGGGTGCTCCGCGCTCTTGGGGAAAGAACAGACAGAGCCCTCTGAAAACCTCAGGCTTGGCCACGGGTTCGGGGTTCAGCTCCTTCTCTGGGCCGCAGTCTTACCCTGATGTTAGGTGGGACTGAATGCTCGGCGGGTTATTCCGGTCATGGCTGCCCTGAACCCGAGGTCCTGTCACCAGAGAGCCCTGGGTGTGAGGTCACAGGCCTTGCACAGTGCATGTGCCTAGAGTCAGGCTGGGGAGGGGCTGAGGCCTGGGCGCCTTGCCCCCGTGGCCTCACCCCAAAGTCCCGAGTTCTAGGCCGGAGGACCTAACAGGGCCTGTAGCAGGTGCCTGCTGACCCCAGGAGCTGCTCCCCGTGTCCCACCCCCGTATCCCCCCGTGTCGCCGCCGTGTCCCCCCCCGTGTCCCCCCCGTGTCGCCGCCGTGTCCCCCGTCTCCCCCTATGTCACTCCCCGTGTCTCTCCCCCGTGTCCCGTGTCCCCCCGTCTCCCCTGTGTCACCCCCGTGTCTCTCCCGTGTCCCCGTGTCCCCCCGTGTCCCCCCGTGTCACCCCCGTGTCTCTCCCCCGTGTCCCCCTGTGTCCCCCCGTGTCACCCCCGTGTCTCTCCCCCGTGTCCCCCCGTGTCCCCCCGTGTCACCCCCTGTGTCACCCCCCGTGTCCCCCGTGTCACCCCCCGTGTCCCCCGTGTCCCCTGTGTCACCCCCTGTGTCCCCCTGTGTCCCCCGTGTCCCCCGTGTCCCCGTGTCACCCCCGTGTCCCTCCGTGTCTCTCCCCCGTGTCACCCCCTGTGTCCCCCGTGTCCCCCCCTTGTCACCCCCCATGTCACCCCCCGTGTCCCCCCGTGTCACCCCCTGTGTCACCCCCCGTGTCCCCCGTGTCCCCCCGAGTCCCCCCGTCTCCCCCCGAGTGGGCGGCACAGGGTCCCGCGGCCCACGCCTCTGCCCCAACCACGTGGGTGCTGCCCCGGGGCAGGGATGCGGCCCGGCGGAGGCCGCGGGGGGCTGCGGAGCTCAGGGACCTCAGGGCGGGGCGCCCGGCGCTGCTGGAAGCCGCTTGGCCCCAGGGCTCCGCGGACGCGGGAGGGGCCGGCGTTTCCGTGACCCGGGCCGGGCTGGGGGTGCGGGACCCGCCGGGAGCTCGGCCGCTGCCCGGGCCTCGGGCTCCCCCTGCTGGCGGGACGGCGGCCGGGGCGCGGGGGGGGGGAGGGAGGGGCGGGGCGGGGGGGAGGGGGAGGGAGGGGGTGGGGCGGGGGCGGAACCCCCTCCCCAGACGCCCCTCCCCGGCTCGGCCCCCCAACTCCCGGGCCCCCTCCCCGGATGCCCTGACCAGCTCGCCCGCCTAACACCGGATCGACCCCCTTCCCTGGGGCGCCCCCCCCCCCCCCCGGCCTCCCCCTCCCCCCTCCCCTGCTCCGGGCTGGGTTCCCGAGGGAGGAGGAGCCGTAGGAGCGCGCAGGGTCGGGGCCTGGCAGGTGCACTGCGCCAGGCGGCAGGTGAGCGGATCCCCCGCCCCAGCGCACCAGGGAGCCGGGGGTGGGGGCTGCGGAGGCCGCGGACCTGCCGGCCCAGAGGACGCTCCCGCCTCCCGACGCGCGACCCGAGGCGCTCGGTGCCCTTCGTTCCAGGCCGAGTCTCCTAAACCAGCCCAAAGGGATAGGGGTGGGCGCCCCTGGGCGCTCCTATTCGGAAAAACACCTCCAGAGAAAAGGATTTCTGGCTTCCTTGACTTGCCCCGACCTCCCCGACCTCCTCTAACTGCTCGCAGTTCTGCTAATTCAGGCGCATCGGCCTCTCCTGCTCCTGGAAGTGGGGGCCGCGGGCCTCAGCGGCGCTTGCTCGTGGCCCATCCAGTCCGCCTCAAAGGTTCTGACAGTCTGGTCCCTTGTGTCAAACAAATTTGACATCATCCTTCTTAGTGTCTGGCTTTGAGCCCATTACTTAACCAAGAAGCCTCAGTTTTCTCACCTGTAAAATGGAAGTTACAGGGCTTTCCGAGTGGGCTGCTGGAAGGGCACCGTGATAAATCATAAAGTCAATAGCAGGGGGCACCTGGGCGGCTCAGGGTGTGATCCCAGGGTCCTGGGATCGAGTCCCGCCTCCGCTCCCCGCAGGGAGAATCAGCGGCACTGTGCATACAGTAGGTATTCTCTAAATGTTATGAGCAATTATCGCTACCTCCACAGTTCTCCTACCTCTCCCAGTCTCTCACTTAACTAAAGAGAAACGGGGGGAGGCTGCAGCAGGCAGGTGGGAGTTCTGGGCGGAACAGTGAGGACTGTGCTGTCCTGCGTCGGTGACTTCTCAACTGGTCACCTCCTTGTGCTCTGACCCCCTGTCTGAGGGGAGGGGTGGCAGCTGCTTCCCTCCCCTGCCCAGGCCTGACCCAGCCGAAGGCCTGGCACAGCTGCTGGAATGGCCCAAATGCCTCGGGTTTAGGGCTAGGTAGAGGACAGCTGGCCGTGGGGGGGGGGGTGGGCAGGAAAGCAGCAGCGCGTCCCCCCTCTCGCTGTGTCCACTCAGTCTGCTGCTGCCTAAGACTTTCAGGTCAGCCTGGGACCTCTGATCTCCCTCCGGGGCCATCTCCCGGTGGGCAGAGGGGGTGGGGGGCAGGCCGGAGGAAGTCTCCCTCTTCCCGCCCCCTCCCCTCTGCCCTGAAGCCACCCGCTGCCCACCCCCAGGCCCCTGCTCCCCTCCCGCCCACGTGCTGCCCAGCTGTCCCTGGCGTGAGCTGGGCACCCCGCCTGCCTGCGCCACTCATGAATCGCCAGCATTCACACTCTGGCCCCAGAGCCTCCACCTGTTCCCCTCGGTCTGAGCAGCAAGGCTGTGCGGCCCCATCTGTTGTCCTCCATCCAGGGTTCAGTGCAAGAGACTAAACTTCAAAACCCTTAGCTTCCACCTGCCAGGCTGAGGGTGGGGAGGCCTGGCTGATGGCGGGGACGAGCCAGGGCCATGCCCACGTCCTGGGAGAGCGGCCCTGCTCCCCCCACCCCCGGGCCCGCCAGCACCGCCTGAAACAACACCCACGTACCCGGGGAAATGGCAAAAGCCCACTCTTCCCAACAGGACATTTGCAGGTTTTGCAGCCTTGTCTTACTCGTTTCATCTCTTCCCCGACAGTGCCCAGGTCGGGGCCAGTCCGCGTTCGATGCAAACACACAGATGCAGCAGTGGCAACCTTCGTTTGATTAATTTTTTGTTATACAAGCAATGGGTGAATACATTTTCCTTGATTCAAATAAAAAATGAAACCACTACCACTCAGACTCCAATTCCCTTTGACGGGTCTCCCAAATCCACAGCCTTCCTCCTAAACAGAGAGGTGACCACGGTTCCGGCCTGTCTGCACATATGCCTAATAAGATAACGGGTACTATCACGTGGGTTCGGGTTTTGCTGTTATTTTTTTATGTAAATTGTAACTACAATTATCCTGCAACTAAATTCACTAAAAAACACGGAAAGTCTCCCCTTCCTAAGCCGATACCTACCGAGATCCACGGCAGCCTCCTTCAGGGGTGCGTAGTGTTCTGAGCGTGGACATATCGTGCTTTTCTTAGCTGTTTCCCTATCGACCGACACTTAGATGGCCTCTGTTCTTCTTCTTCCATTACAAACATGGGGACGAGCCTCCTTTCATAAACTGCTTAATTCTCTCTTCCTACCCCTTGTGGGCATGAAGGGTTACTATTTCCACTGTTTTAGGGGCACAAAAATACCAGAAGTGACCTTAGGAGCATTTTAGAACCAATCTGTAATAATTTTTTCTTCTAAAATCCTGGGTCCCCCTAAGATGATTTCCATACCCGCTTGGGGGCAAATTACTGTTCTAGGAGATGGCTGTGGTCCAGGAGGGAGAAGAAGACATCAGAGAGAGCAAAGAGACGAGCAGTGAGGACAAGGGACCAGGGAGGAACAAGAAAGAGAAGGGAAAGGGCCTGCGGATTACAGCCGTCTCTGCAGCCGGGAAGCCTGGGACCATCCAGCAGGAAGGAAACAGTTAAGTGAAACTGGGCATATCTAGTCTGCGGAATATTATGCAACCATTAAAATGATAATTATGGAGACGATGTAGGAGCATGGAGAATGCTTCTGATATTAAGTTAAAAAGCAGACTACAAAATTAAAGCGGCATTATGACTACAACTCTGCAAAATGATACATACAAAGATGGGGAGGGAACCCAGACGAATGAAAACAATCAGATTGGTTGTGGTAGCAGAATTGTGGGTGCACTGTTATTACCATTTATTGCCACTACCATTGTGGTAATATTGTTTTGTGCAATATATGATTGATTAACGCTACATAGCAGCAAGAAGAAGGAAGGCAAGGAAAACGAATAAGAGAGGAGACGAAGAAGAAGAAGGAGGAGGAGGGGGCGGAGGAGGGGGAGGAGGAGGAGAAGGAGAGGGGGGAGGAGGAG